GGGTCCAGCACTGTTTCAATCATATATCTGCCTCTTAAGATTCTTCAGAACTTGTAGTGGTTCTTTAGTGCATTACAAAGCAGCACTTTTTCATTCAGCCCATTGAGCATGTAAAATGTACAATGATTCTTCTGTTTCTTTACCCAGTATCAGACAAACTTTGATTGTCAGCTGATCGTCTGACATTTGACTCTAGAACACGTGAGTGAACAGCCCAGGGTCTTTGACTTTGTCATATGACCAAAAGACGTTTTGTGGCTTGTTCAGATGCAATTTTCCAAACCTTTGCATTGCTGTCTGCTTATTCAGACAGAAGAGGCCTTCTCCTGGGAGCCTCTTTCCAACAAGTTATACTTGTTTTTTCTCATTGTAATGTCATGAACTTTAATGTTCAACATGCTAAGTGGGGCTTATAGAGCCTAAAATGCAGGTCTTGCTTGTGTTTTCCCCTAGTTTTTCTGACCACTGACCTTGGGCTGAATTGGCTGGTATGTTGACTTCTGGGAAGATGGACAACTTGAATGTTTTCGAGTTGTGAATAACGTTTCTCCATGTGGAATGGTAGACTTCCAATTGTTTGGAAATGACCTTATAACCCTTTTCGCATTGAAGGGCAGCATCAACTGCTTCTCTAAGCTCAAAGCTGATGTCTTTCCTCCTCAGCAACGTGTTAACACACCTGAACGATCCAGACCACGAAAACTGCCAAAACTTCTTTTAACAAAGAATCACATTTGTATTTGCTTGGTGGCACCTGCCTGCTACTTACCCTCTTAACCCCCACAAAAGAATTTCTACTTAGTTTTTCCACATACAGCTTCTACACCTTGGCATTATTTATTTTGTTAAATAAATAATGGCATAGTATAAAAGGTTGTTTTACTCACATGAGGTTTCTTATCTAACGAGATTTTTTGTTTTGCTGTAAAAACCTTAAAATCAACAGAGGCCACACTGTATTCACATGACTGCATATGGCAAAAAAGTTTAGTACCTAAGCTTAAAAATTGCAGGATAAACAGACCTGTATTGTAGAGTAATCTCAGCCTTGGTTTAAGACTGCTGGTTTACAACAACCCTTGTATTATAAACTAAAGCCTTAAGTTTGAAAATCAGTGGTATTTGCAAACTAGAGAAAGTCTAACATAAGTAACTACTTATTGCATTATGGGAATTACAGGATCCAACATAAGCTACTCTTATTAAGGTGCCTACACACTCTGATTTCAGCAATCTTATAAGTTCATCACAAGTTACACTGAGCAACACGAATCTAATAAACATGGACATTAACTTTGATGCAAGTACACTGTATGATGATAGTGCCTGCTATTGAATCAAGAACCACGGCTGTTATTTTTTTTTCTATTTTCTACATCCTCTTTAGTTGGAGAAGAAATTATACACACGTTTCTTCTTAGTCAGAATCAGTTTTCCTTTTTCACAATTTTTATTTCATTTCATACTGTTGGTTACTAGCAGACATAGGTCACACATTATCCAAATTTCCTGGATGTCTTTGTAGGTAATGGAGCATAATCAAGAGTCCAAGGAAATGTAGATAAACAGACATGATTCCACTATTTAGTCTATGAATAATGATCAGTATTGGCTAAAATAGCTACGTATATAATTTCTGGGATTATAAAGGGCCACCAATGTGGTGCCACAACATTTGGGACTGCCCAAGACTCGTCTAGTATGTACATGGCTTTAGGGATTAAAAGTCAGTATATCCCAGGAGCCTTTCTTTATTCTGATCCTTCTAGTCCTCCTCACTCAAAGAGTATATCTGAACAAGGAACCACACTAAAAAAAGTTATTTAATTTAATTACCTAACTAAGCAGAACGCATATGTACCGAAGTGTGGACATCTAAATGCTAACAGGTGCTGCACTTGTGAGATCTTTAACCTACTCCCTTAATTGTGGTTGGTTTGGATATGACATGTAATGCAGTGGAACCACACTGGGGTGGGGATGTAATAAGCCAACCTTTCCAGCTTATTCATTATCTTAAGTACTGGTTAAATTGTGCAGACCAAGCCCTCAACGCACAATTAAGGTTATATAACATTAAACTATAAGTCTTCTTTTTCCTGGCCTCTTCATTTGTCTTGACATAGACCAGCATTACCAGGATGTATCAGTATAGTTATTCTGTTAACCAAGTTTAGCAATTCAGCCAACGGCCTTAAGTCAGACCAAAGCACACCTAAATAAATGAGTGTGTATCCTGCAGTAGCTGTTTCATCAATTTTCCACCCAAATGTTACACATATATTTTAAGCAGAGTAAATATGATTCAGTACATAGCTACATACTTCAATGTGACTCACTGTATTACATACACCCAATAAGGCACTGTGCTAGGAAGTATTTTTAGCCTTTCTGGTTACATAGAGATGTGAAACTCAGAGTTGCATTAAACTTCATGACATCACTTTCACAGTGCCCACATTACATAATATTTTTAAAAGTGTTAGACTAGAAGCTATTTTGCCACAAGGACCATGACCAAGGTGAAAATCTAATTAATTTGTTGAATTTGTCTGCCTCAAACTTATTACAACGTTTATTCGTTTTTCTTCCCCCTTAATTTTTTAAATTTTCTATAAAGGTTAGTTTCAATTATTTTATTTAATTACTATATCATAGATGGCATTTGTCACGTGCAAGATTTAGGGATTTCAGATTAGGTATTACAACCTTCCAAACACCACCAGCCACACACTCGGATCCTTGCCAGGTAGAACTCGCTGTGTTAAAATAAAATAAAAAAAAAAAAAAAAAAAAAATAAAAGGAAAATTCCTGGTTGGTTTTTTTAAGTTTGTAACCAACCAATATTAAAAGCCTACTTTCATTTTTTGTTAAGTAATTAGAACAAGTTTGCACAACTAGTTTTTGTAAATAAATTCCCAGTAATAAACATTTTTCCCCTTTCAGGATTCCTTATAGGCAAAAATTAAATGCCAAAGTATCATTATACCAACTTAGTACACCTTAAAACTGCAACTTAATATCGAATGAACTGGGTTAAAGCACTGCCGCTGGACCGAATGTAGAGAAAACACACGCACGCAACCTTTTACTCATGCTGGCTGTTAATCAAGACGGTCAAACATGGCAGTTGCAATTGCAATAAAATCAGCACTGCACGAAAAGTAAAGGGGGGGGCGCATTTACTCCACTGCATCAATTTTAAGCTTTAGCTATTAGTTACTTTGAACATTTAGTTTTTTAAAACAAATATCCAATCGTTATAGTAATACAGATGAACTTAAATTAGTTTTACGCGGGTCAGTAAACTCTGCTGGCAACAGGAGGAAAATAAATGTTGGACGCTGAAAAGGGGGATCACTGATTCAATGAGACAGACGATGAGAAAATGAACAAATGTGCGGACATTTCACCCGGATCACTTTGACGATGCTGATTTCAATTAAGAGCTTATAAAAAGACTTTGTGGTGATGCTCAGGAATTTAGTACAATAGAGTGAATATTTATAGAGAGGGAGGGTACTGTTTGAATGTCATATTTGCATATCACCAAATGCAGTCGCTTCACAATGGCAGCTCTCCACGCATGCAGTGTTCAGCAAGGTGGGTGAAAGCGGTGTAATGTCTACAAGTTCAATAAAAATCAGAAACAGACCAGTCACACAAGTTAGACTAGGGAGAACCGTCTGCTGTTGAGGAATCGCAGTAAAACCGCCAATCACTCATCAATAAACTGATCAGAGGGAGGGCTGAAATCCGCACGTGGTTCGAATATCAGACTAAGCGTGCTACACTTCCGCGTCCTTGAGACGTGATTTCAACACGACAGCGTTAAAAGGCACAAAAATGAACACTTGAAGTAGCCGCTTATGTTCAAAACACCGGAATACCTCACAGAGGTACTATTTCAAAGCCCCTGACTCCACAGTCAGCCCGTTCTCGGAAGGCTAACGCTAGCCTGGAAAGGAAGACAACAATCCAACCAGCTAACATAAGCTAGCAGACGACTCACAGGAAATTAGCTCACAGTCTAGAAAGACCAACGATATAAGGAACGGTGTTATGTTTCGTTACAAATGTTCGCAACAGCGGCGAACAAAATCCACGAGCCGTGGATAACACTGCCCGGGTCCATGTTGTGGGAGTGAATGATAACAAATGGGTTTTTTTATATAGTTACCTCACTCGAGTGCCGTGTGCATCTCCTCTCCGCTCGTTACCAAAAAAAAAAAAAAAGTCGTCCAGCTTTACGTCAACGCACGAGAGACCAGCTCATTCACCAACGCCTGCTGAGAACTTTACGTGGAGTTCGTGGGGGTGGTCCTTTAGTCTACGTAAAGTGCGCAGTACACCAATGAAAGCGCTGACGTTTCTTTCCGCCAAATGGTGTCTGGTCTGTCATATGACTGTCTGAGGAGTTCACGTTCCTTTTTCCCTCAGGCTGTTTGTAAACAAGAACACGGCAAATAATTAAATATTACAATTATTAATGTTACACTTAAGGGAGACGAGGCGCAAATTATAAACAGTTATTATTATTTTACTTCATAAGAAATATATGCGCAGTAGGTAACAGCACAGTTTCAATAATAATAATAAATATTAAATAGCAAAAACAGTTTAAAAGCAATCAAGTTAAATTAAACCACTGTATCTTAAATAAAGTCAAGCCAAAATCATATGGTTATAATCAGTTCATTGATTTTACCTCTGCTCTAACTTTATAAAACAAGTTTGTGGAGCATTTCACCCTCTTTGTTATATTTTCTTGGTCTAGTCAAATGACTTTCAATCACCAATAGAGCCAAAGTGACCATTAAAGGAACTTAACTTTTGCTGTTTTTACCACCAAATTGTGACTGGGTGACTGGACTGTCATATGACTGTCTGAGAGAGATCATGCTCCTTCTTCTTCTTTTCCAGGCTGTTTTTAAACAAGAAAACCATAAAGGAATTATAATTCGCAATTAGGAAAAACCAATGGCAATTTCATAATTAATAATTTCTTTGTTTATAAGTTACAATAAGCAACAATACAATTTAAATTTACAAATACAAGTCTTAAATAAACTGCATATCGCAATGTTTTTGTTACTTATTTGTGTAAGAATATAATGAAACAGTTGGGCCTTTGTTTGAAAATCATGAAATATGTGTATCAGGCAGTTCATCTTCTTCGCTGACATTTAGATGAACTTTGCATTGGCTGTTTCTTTCTGCCAAACTGTGTCTGGGCTGCCACATGACTCTAGAATAATCTTCTTGATTCTTTTTTACTCATTTTGAAAAAGAATACTTTACATTCCTTAATAACTTATATATACTTATATAGGCTACAACAGATAATGAGCAAAGTGAAAGTGTCTTGGTGAATATAATAAAAAAAATACATAATTGAGCAGTATGTATATTGTTTTTAATAGATATATAACCGAAAAAGCTAATTCCTTTTATAAGAGGTTTCAGAAGAAGAGATGGGAACTGAGAGAACTGTACAGCCAGCAACAACCTGAGAAAGTGAACAAAGCCTTCATCAGATGAATACACCCTCTAATTTCAACTCACATCCTCATTACTCGCGATCACTGGCTGTGTCACATTAAGGTCAGCACCTTTGCTCTGACAACAAACATGCCGTGATTACAGGGCGTTAACAGCGTATGACAAAGGGTTCAACTGGAGTTTCTAGTTTTGTATCAGTCATCCTTTTCTATGAAGTGAAAACTACGTCTTAACATTCTGTCCATTTTACTTTAGTCTTCACTTACTACACAAACATCTCCGTGGCCCACACACCAAACATTCAAAGCAGTCACACAGAAGCACAAACAAGGGGGTCTATTAGAAATCTCATTTTATATTCTACTCAAAATAACCATCAGTCTGAACTAAACATGACAAAATGGGAGCAGCTCTGCACTCCACCAGACAGGGGATGTACAGAGGCTGAATAAGCAGCTTAAATAAGCTGAATCTTCCTTTTTTTAATGTGCAGGTTTTTTATTCAGTTTAAACAAAGACACAGCTTGTACTCCAGCAACAGAGTATTATAAAAGTACAGGAAGCATACAACAATAACAATAACAACATGAAGCCACATGACCATCAGAGGATCATAGCTACCGCTGAAGGCACAGAGGTCATGTCCTCAGCACTGTCTCTGGGAATCAGGGATTTTTATTCACCTAGACAAGGGTTTATATTTATATTACATTAGAAAATGTGTCTCCTGATGTGTGCCTCAAAAAAGGAGAAAGAGATCTTTGAAGACTTACCTTCAAGACTAAGCTCAGCTGATTTTGCCAAAAGAGGATCTTGACCTTGGATATCACGCAGCAGCATTTATCATCTAAAAAAACAGAACTACTTCTGGGTCTGGACAAACAGCAATCACTGAGGGAGTTGTTAATTTCCATCTTCACCAAGATATCTTGCAGAATACTTTCAGTGTGGCTGCCTGCCAGCTGTAGCTCAGCAGAAAGCTTAGTGATGCAGTAAAAAATGACCCCAAAAATAAAGTAAATCAGTTACCAAATGAATTTACGTAAGAAAATCCACCAGTCGGAGTTACTCAAACCATATAAAGCCAAAGGTATTTGCTCGTCTGCCTACTCAAATATATATGTACTTGAGTGACATCCCATTCTTAATCCATACGGCTTAATGTTGGTTCACTCTTTGCAGTTGTAAAAGCTTTCGCTCTTCTCGGAAGGCAAAGTTTGAGGAAGTTTGGAGGTCTGTAGCGACTGACAATGCAGAAAGTCGGTAACCACAGCCTGCTCTGTGATTTTACATGGTCTACCACTTTGTAAGTGACTTACTGTCATTTCCAGTCAATTCTACTTTGTTATAAGACCACTAACATTAACTTTGAGGTATTTTTACAGCTGGATTTTATGCGCAGAGGTGGCATCCTATCAAGGCAGCACACTGGAATTGACTGAGCAGCCTGCATGCCTAGGTGCTTGATTTTATGATTTTGTACAGTAAGACTGCACAGATTGGAACACCTAAACTGAATGATTTGGATGCTTGAGTGAATCCTTTTGGGAATATAGTGTAATTGTCTGTAAACGCTCCCTTGAGCGTGATCCAGTTTTAACATACTAAGTTGTTGAAAAAGCCCATTAAAGTGAGTTATTAGAATAATCGCTATTTTTTGTCATGTAATCTTAAATTTGTCTTATTAAAACAACTGTATGACAAAATTAGGGGTAAAAATAGTATATTTATGGCATGAACACTAACTAACTTAGAGGCTTTGTGCTAGTTTCACCTCTGACCTCTCAGTTTGGTCACTGATGTATTTACTCTGGACTTTTTATACAGTATATTGAGGCAATGAGATTTAAAACATAGCACTCCAAGGAATCCATCAAGGTGAAATGCACTGAGCTTTCATGTCTGGTCATATTATGTGGTACGGTACAGAAGAGGCTGAGCACAGCTGACCTTCACTGCCTGTGTGTAGGTGGCTCTGAGTGTGTGTGCGTGCTTGCATGTGCAGGTGAGCGTGAGGCATTTGAACGCTCTGATGGGACCACACAGCTAATTTCTGTTGGCCACGCACCAGCTGGGTCCACGTCCCTGCTCCTCCCCACCCCAGGTTTGCCTCCTCCCCTCCCACCTCATGTCGGCTGTCTCTCGTGATCATAGGGAGATTAATCTCAAGTGATTGGCAGCCATGTTCTCGCTTAGCACTCCAGTCATGGTGCCCCGGGGTCTCTGCCAGTCGTAAAGCAATGGCAGAAGTGCCACTGTGGCTTTCACTGTCATTTAGCCAGTACCCTGCCCCAGCAGACAGAGGATGAAAAGTGCCAATGACTGCACTGAATTATGAGTTCAACTCAGCCCCGGACATATATACAACCCAGCACAGGGAGCCATTTCCTGCTGAAATGCCTCCTGCTGCAGATTACTGAGGTAATATTTCCTGGACTGCAACTAGAGCGGTTATGGTCTGCAGGCAATCTACCTGACGCAGCTTTTGCCCACAGAGGTGCGACCGGTATGAAAGACGAGGCATTGACTTGTGGTGAAATTGCCCTTTTTATCACACAGTGGTTAAAAAGGTGAGGTGATTTTTAATGAGGACAACTATTATAACGTTTCACACCAAACCGAGGCCATAAGAGGTTGAACAGCTACTATGCACAGTTACAGACACAAGTGAAATAGTTCATTCCAGTTATACAGCATACCCTATTATAAACCTATATTACCAGAGTCAAATTAAGGTCGTACATCTTGAATGTGTCCTTCCATTTGATGGAAATAGGCACTGGGGATGTGTAGCCTGGATCCAGTGTGTGTGTGCATGTTCCTGGCTGACATTTTGCTGATACAGAGCAATGCTGGCACCCCTGCTGGAGCTCTGTCCTGGAGGGCAGCCAAAGACGGGGAAAAAAAAAGAGCGAAAACTGGAGCGAAAGGGAGAGATACGACAAGTGACAAGTTTTAAATATCAGTTCATTAGCAACCTGTAAACCTATCTAATGAGCACTCATGGATTTTTCATTCCCTTTAATCGGGTGGAGGTTGAAGAAAGGTGAGAGCGCTTGCTTGTTTTCCCCTCGGGTTTGTTGTACTTGCCAAAGCTATAATGCACACACATACCACTGCAATAGCCAACGAACAGCTCCCCACCCAACAAGCTCACACGCTGTCGATCGATGCGAGCAGGGGAAGAGCGTCCAACAAGCTCCATTAGGCTGCATTTGGTCCATATGAATATCCACTGATGAAGCAGATTGACATCTTGACAGTACTAGCATTCAGAGACCTGTCTCATGATTGGGATCCATACAAGACACCCAGTGTGTTCTTTGGAAAATACAATTTTAGCATGTTTTTTTTTTAAACCAGCTGATCTAAAGGTCCAAAGGTGTTCACATGTTTTTTTCCTAATTGATGGAGCCCAGTAACAAGGTAAATTGCAATTGTAAATGACTTATTTATTTCTAAGATCATGGCTACTACTCATTTAATCTTTTGATCAAACTTCTTTCTTCGTCAGGTAAGAAGACAAATGAATCCCACAACTACACACAGTTCCCACACACACCTCCTTTTATCGACATATTGACTTGCGTGGGTATTTGAGCAAGTGGATGACATTCTTGCTTACATTCAATCCAGTGACACCAAGCTGAACAGTTCTTCTTGTTATCTGATGCAGTAAAATTGTTAAAAGAACCACAGTCAGACTCTTTAAAGAAACAAATTA